CATACGTAACCTAAACATCTGTACCCCCATAATATGTTGAAATAAAAAAAAAAATGATAGCCTTAAAATCTGTACATGATACAAGGTTAGTTAAGAACTCGTGTTCCTTGGGAATATTTCAGAACAATTAAAATAGGGCAATTATGCAAGTGGCATCTCTGCTTTTGATGTGACTTTTTGATAAGCGAAGTGAAAGTATCTGTGTGTGACTTCCTAAGGGAATAGTAAAATTGCATTGACTTTTAGAAACAGGGATATTTGCTTTGTTATCCTGCTTAGAGCAACTTTTAATATATGGCCGGTACCCTGTGTATGTAAGACACTAAGTGCATGAAAATTTATATGGCAATTTATTGCTGATAAATTCAGAAAGCAGCAAGAATGCTAATAATCACTACCACAAAACTGTTCACATTACCTAGTCATCAAGATAGTTGACTTTTTATAGATATTGTGGACATTGTATTTTTAGGTGTATGGTATGATTTCTGTCTAAAAATTATGTAATCTCAAAGTGTCCTGACTGGGCCACTGAAATAATTCACAGGTACCTCTTGGACTTTTGTACAAACCATGCTGAAACTAGAAACTATGTATGAAATATACATTATTCCATACCCAATAATTAGAGTTAACATCTCTATCTTTCCCTTTATGTATCTGTATGTGTCTCTGTCTCTATCTGTCCCTTACTTTTCCCCCTCCACGTCTACCCACCCACACACACAATAGAAAAATATGGAAGCAGTGGAATGCTACTATATGTATGCGTGTGTGTATGTGTGTGTATATTGTACATTATATATGTCACTTCAAAAGTTTATTGAAAAAAATTGTCACTTGAATGTATTTTTGCCAACTCTAAGTAAAAATAAGTTGTATTTTAAAAACTTTTTTGTCTTGCTTTTTTTGTGTGTTTGGATTGAACTAAGGAAAATTCTGTTTCTTTAAATTCTTTACCAATTAAGAATCAAAAGGAATATTTTTAAAAAATAAGTGCTTTATTCTAATGACTAGGTGGCTTGTAAAAGAAAATCCCACCATAAATCATAATTAAAATGACATCTTTTAAATATTGGCACAACTACAATGATACTTTTTCTCTTCTAAGTAAATGTTTAGAGTCTGGAAGACAATCAGATATCTCGTAGATTGCTTTTATTTAAGGTAATTCTGTTTGTGCTTCCTGAATTCATGACAGCATTGTGTCAAAATAAGCCAATATATAATCTCAATAATTCTTTATTTTGAAGGTTTAAATGTTAACTTTAAGAAGTAAAATTTTCTTTGTGATATTACCTTAGAATCCCTTTGCTCTAATACAAATTATCCAAGGATAATTTATATTTTTTTCGGATTCTAGACATTATATTAAAAGTGAATGAAGAAAAGAGAGAGAACATTTCAGGGAAAAATCTGTTATATAAACAGAGATTAGAAGATTTATAAAAATCAGCTTCTGAAGTCCAGCAAATTCTCATTGCTTATACACTTTTTATAGCATTTACCTTCTCACAATAAAGCCAGTTTTCTGAAGCTTATGATTAGTTGTATTGTTTCATCAACTAGGTAGGATGATACAACTCAAATTATAATTATATGACTTATAATTAATAACCAAAATGTACAACAAAACCGTTAAAATATCTTTTAGAGATCTGTATTCCTTTGCAAAGAGGGGAAAATGTTCAATTGCTATTTTAGTGTCGAGTCCTTAAGACGGAATTAGAGTAGAAAGTGCTAAACTATTATATTAGAGTTGAAACTATTAACAGCAGGTTATTTAAAACAATGGATCAAAAGTAGAGACTGGTAAAGACTTTGTTTAGCACTAAGTGCTCCTTAATGCTCCCTGGACACAGTGGCTGCATCTTGTATGCTTTTTTTTTTTTTTTTATTTCAGCATATTATGGGGGTGCAGATGATTAGGTTACATATGATGCCCTTGCCCCCCTTCGTCCCCAAGTCCGAGCTTCAAGTGTGTCCATTCCTGGGATGGCACGCATTGCACTCTTTGTGTATGCATATACCCGTCCCCTCATCCCCCTTCTCCCCTCCCCACTGCTCTCCCAGGGATATGCCCTTACTCTGTTGTTTCTCGAGCTGTCTTCCCAACTCAGATCTGAGCACCTCAGTTCCACACCTTGCCTGGCTTACAGATGGCCCCTCATAATTATGTGTCTAATGAACAAATGATTAAAGAACAGTAACTATCAGTGCTGACTTTGAAACTTTCATTTAACTTCAAAAATGATATAAAGATTGATTTTATATTTTGTCCGTCCTTAAATATCTCCTTCCTTTCAGAAACATCAATGAATACGTTCAAACTCAATTTTGGAGACATAATTTATCCCACAATTTACTTTAACTCAATCTCCCAGTACCCTGGTTTGAGGCTAAAAAGAAAAAAGTAAAAAAGCCTGTGATGATCTCTCCCCTCTTTAAGACTCATTTTTACTAAATATGAAAAAGTTCTATTATTTTCTTTTTTATAGTATTAATACCAATAAGATATGAAGCTCTGAACAAATCTATAAATATGTGTCCTAAATTTTTTTCTAAAATGTGATTAAATCTATCATCTAAAACAAAAAGAACAGGATCTGACATATTGACATAACTCAAAAAAATATTAATCTAGACTAGAGATCAAATAAATTGAATTAAAGATTTAACCAATTGACGAGTCTTGGATATGTATTCCTTGTACTATTTTCAGTCTAATGATATAAATTTTTCCTATGTGAAATCACTATAATAGTTCAGAATCAGCAAGTACAGAATTTCAGTTTTACAAGATGAAAAAATGTTTATACCCCCATATTATCCTGAATTAAAAAAAAA